AATATGCCCCAGAGATACAAAGTACAGTCCTCATACTTCTCCACACCTAAAAGTCTGCATACAGATAGATGTTCAAAATAATTCATTCAGGAAAGTAAATAATAATAATAATTCATTCAGCAAATATTGTGTATCTAGGATGTGCCACTAGTGGTTGACAGCTAATATCATACCCCCAGCTGGCTCATTCCTGTAAATGTTGCAAATATGTCCAAACTTTTCATGGGTTACTAGAAATTGAAATTGGAAAAGTGTGTTTTGTTCTTCTAGCATATAAATATACAGTAATTTCTTAATTAGAAAAGGCAAGGTTAAATTCACTGTACTACATAAAGCAATAGAATTTGTTTTTAATAAACAAAACTGATGCACTGACATTTTTTTCCCTATGCATTGCATATTTCTGTCATATTTTAAGGCCTCTGTTTTCACCTAATTTTAATGTACCATACAAATATAAATGTGATAGTAAGTTAAACTAAATCTTTTTTTTTTTTTTTTTTTTTTGAGATAAAGTCTTGCTATGTAATTTAGTCTTGAACTCACTATGTAGCCCAGGCTGCCTCAAACTTGCAGGAATCCTTTTGCCTCAGGTGGAAAGATTACAAGTGTGTATCTCCAAGCCCAGCTTAACAAAATCTTTTTAAAAAGCCCCCTACATATCAGCTTTTAGTTTTATGTTTTATTTTATTTATTTGTGTGGTACTGGGGATTGAACCCAGGGACTCAAGCCTGAGAGTCAAGAAATCCACCATCAAGCTCCCTCCCCAGCACTATATTTTATTTTGAGACAGGGTCTTGCTAAGTTGCCCAGGAACTTGTGTTCTGCTGCGGCCTCCTAAGTACCTGGGATTACAGACATGCTCACCTACTCTCAGTGTTTTAGACCATTAATTCACTTCTACAGGTGCTTTTACCTGCTAAGGACTTCTGTCAATTGTTGTAGTCGTTTTTTGTTGTCAAAGTAGAATAGGAGCTTAGGGGGAAACTACTAGAATCTAGTATATAGAGGCCAGGCATGTTGCTGAACATCATGCAATGCATAGGACAGCCCCTTATAACCTAGAATTGTCTGGCACAAAATGTCAGTAGCAAGGTTGAGAAACTGTATTTTAGATAGGTATTTTGTGGTGAATAGTGAAAAGCAAATAAACATCGTATATAAAATGTAACACCAAAATATAACAGTTAACAACAGGGTGTCTGTTATATTCAGTGTATGGGGATTTTGGGTGGCACCCATGTACTAGGAGATAGGCATTCCTGATATTTCTCTCCCCACCCCGCCCCCAGTACTAGGGATCAAACTCAAGACCTGCGAGGCAGGCAAGGTGCCACTGAGCTAAATCCCTGGCCCAATTCCAGATATTTCAAAAGCCTAAGGCCCCAATTCTCACAGAGCTCACATCCTAAAAATGGAAATGATAAAAAATTTATGAAATAATATGCAATGTTTTAAATAGTGCTAAGTCCAAATAATCTTTTTTGGGTTGATCAGAGAAAGCTTGACAGAGATAAAGTCTGAATAGTTTTGTAGAAGTTCTGCTTAGTTTTAGCACTCACTCAAATTCTAGTCTTGCAAAGGACGCACAAGAAGAGCAAATTACATCTGAAAAAGCCTGGAGACTTGCTAAACAGCAAGAATTGATTGTAAGTAGTTCATTGTGTTGCGATGAGTCTGGGGTTTAGATAGAATCCTGCTTTAAGAGGGCCTTGAATCCAAGGAGTATGGACTTTATGAGAATAGGGCTATATGGAATCTGCAAAGATTATTTGCAGGGTGGAGATGAGAATTTCTTTGGGAGAGAATTTAAAGTGACCCAGTAGATCATGAAGGTCTGAGATAACAGGACTGGTTGACAGGACTTGATAACCTCCTTCAGTAAAATAGGATTATAGATAAAGAAGACAACAGAAGGTGACTGCACATTTCACCTTGGGGATTTCATGGATGCTGGAATCATTAATCAGTGCAGAAAATACATAAGAGAGTGGTAATAGAAATAATTTTTCTTCAAACATACTGTTTTTGAGGTGCCCATAGAACATACAAATTTGTTTGTTTGTTTCCCCCAGGAGCTTATTGAATATTTTATCTGAATATGATTATAAGGAATGGTACAAAGGATGCATAGTGGCTTAAGAGTATAGAATTCTATTTCTACATATACCAGCGCTTGCTTGTAAAGCCTTCAAAATATTACTTCTTTTTTATTTTCTTTTTTCCTTCTGTGATTTTTGGATTGTGGGGATAGAAATGTCTCTTTGAAAGGTTGATATAACTGGTATTGAGCTGAAGAATAAATAATTGGATATTATATGACATTTGAAAAATTGTAGTAAATATTCTGGAGGCTATACCAACCCATTGCCTTGATAAAGGTTTGTGTACCCAAGTTAGGTTCCTAAAATAACTCATTTTGATAGTCTTTGAATAGCATTGGCTGAGTTGCATGGATTACCTCTGATGTACTTTAGATAAGCTTTTGTTTTTAGTTCTTGACTTTTCATTACTCACATATGGTTTTTACCTACTTTTGCATCATAAGAAAAAAATTTTTCTTTTTCTTTATGTCCAGACCTCTTGTGCTAGGTGTTGTTATACTTCCACTCTAAAAAAATAAAACAGATGCTACTTTTAAAATGTTCACTGAAAATGCATTAGCTAATAAACATGGAAAGAAAAACAGCTGTGAAATGTTTGCCACTGCATTATTGTTTCAGTGTTCTTCATTGAGCTTTCTCTGTCACCTCCTTGAGCAGGAAGCATATAAAATTTCTTAGGATTGTTGCTATTAGCACATTGTATGGATTTTTTTCCTTTAATCCATTTAGTACAGGATCTACTTAGTACTGGCCTGTGTCCTAAAAGACCATCAGAGATAAGGCTATTATCCTTTTATTGAATATTATCCTGGGAAAGTATTTATACAATCGAACTCAGTTGCACTTGCTGTCTTCTTTTTTTAAACGAAGGGTGAGAATGGAGATTGTGTTAACTGAGTTCAGATGAAGCAGTGTGTTTAGCAGCACTGACACAAAGTGCTTTAGTTGATGTCTTTTATATTTTGCAAATGGATTCCATCTTGGACTCTGAAAGAATTGAGTTGACAATTCAGATTAAGAATTGACAGTCATGTAGGGTACTGTGCAGTTACTGGCACAGTTGCTGTTTTTCATAAGCAATTCTGAAGTAGAACTCCTAGTTCTTTTAGGATTAATTTGAAATGTTTGTTTGCTATTGCTGTCATAATCTCTTCAAAATTGCCATAAATAGAAGCCAGTGGCCTTTATCTTTAAACATGAACAATTTTAGAAGAGTTAACTATTTAATTTTTTTTCTTGTGCTACTGGTATTGACCCCTAGAGCATGCTAGGCAAATGCTCCAACCTTGAGCCATTTCCCTAGCTCAATTATTTTTGAAATACTGGTCATTAAAATGGAGAATAGTCAAAAGGAAGTTTTAAAGCATAGTCTTTTACTGAGTCTGTCAAAAACTGAAAAAGCTTGGAGAACAATAGCATATAACTTTCAAGTGTGTCTTTCAAAATATTTTTTGCATTGTCAAATTACTTAAACTATCTTTACTTTAAATATATGCTATATGTGTAAGTATACTATTATGGTAGACATATTTAAACACTTAGCAGGTGGTTTGCTGGATTGAGCCAATATTACTGACTTAAGTGACAGGTTTTTGGCTTTCCAAAAATTATTTTGATTGGTCAAACAAGATATGAATGAAGTAAATTAATTCCCAATTTTGTTGTTCCAACAAATATGGCCATATTCATTTTTCTAAATTCCTCTCCATTTTCTGCTTATGTTCTCACATGTCTTTTTCATAATTCACTGTTGAAATTTTCCATTTTTGCCTCACATTGTATTTAAGATTTTTCTATATGTGGTGCAATGTAAGAGTCCATTATCATAATACAATTGCAAAGCCATTCTGATTTTATTTAATAATAAAGTATTCATCCAGATTAGAAATCTGGTAGGAACTTAAATTAATCAAATATAAATGGTTTGTGTGACAATGCAGTACATGCTCGACAGAATTAGAGCTGGAGCCCAGATCCATCCAGTATTCTAGTTACTATGTTATAAAGTTAGGTCAGTAAAATAATACATACTAGATTTGCTGGATTGCATCCATCTATATTTTCAATATTATTTAGATATTTGTTCGTGATATGGTCAGAAAATAGATGGTTCTTTGCATAACCAATCCAAGATTAAATTTAAGCTATTTTAAACTCTGAAAACTGAGAATCATTTTTACCAATTTATCAATTTGTTCAGTGTATTTACAGTTAGAAGTGTTTCTCCTTTTTAAATAAAAATATATTATCTGAATGTATATGCTATATGCAACAATCTTTTTTTTCTTTTTTCTTTTTTTTTGGTACCGGGATTGAACTCCGGACCTTGTGCTTGAGAGGCAGGCAGTGGCACCACTGAGCTAAATCCTCAGCCCTGCAGCAATCTTAAGTATTCAGTAATGGAAAACATAGGAAAGAGTGACACAAAGTATGGTTGAGCATGGCTTTGTAGTCAAAGAAATATATTTAATCCCAGTTCTATTACTTACTAGCTCTGGTTCTTGGGCAGGTTGTTTGTCTTATTGCTTAGCTTCTGTTTCCTCTAAATTAAGCTTAATAATACCCGCCTTATAGAGTTACAGTAAATGATGTATATATGTGTCATCTTGCATAAAACTTGACATATGGCAGATACTCAGTAAAGGTATTTTTAGTACTTTGTGTTATTTTTAACATTATTAAAATTTGTACATTAATTGTCAGTAATTTCTAAAAAGAATCAGTTTTAAATGATTTAGGACTGATAATGTAGATCAACTCAGATTCTTATTAATTCTATAATGTTTGACAGTTGTATGTGTTGATATTAACATATTAACAAATTAAAGTGAACCAGTAAAAGAATTTGTCCAGATTCTGTTCTGCCAGCTAACATATAATTTTTCTTTCAACAGGCTCAGCACTATGTAGCTACAACCTAAAGCCTTCTGAATATACTATATCTCTTAAATCTTCTGATCTTTGCCCCAAACTACCAGTTCCAGCGAGGTAAATTTTATTGCTAAGTTGTTAACTTGTAACTTTTGTTTTCGTAGGTAAATTTTACACTGCACATATTATACTGAGAAAATAGTCAATAATGCCTATCACTCAGGTCCAATACTTTTACAGTAAAATTTTAAAAAAAGAATAGATATGACTATATATATATATATCTATATCTATAGATATAGATATAAAACCTTTTAAAAATGCATATGCAAGCAATTTTTCTTGTTCTAATATTTTAAAAAATTTTAAGGGCTTTTGTTTGTTTTTATTTCCATGCCGTAATATTTAAGTACGCTAAACTGCCAAATCATTATCAAACCTGCAATAAGCTTATAAACCAAGTCTCATGGCTCCAAAGATTCTTTGAAGACCCTAGTAATATCAGAATTTTTTAAAAAATTTACTTTGTAAATTTAAAAAGTATGCCAGTGATTATTCTCCATAGGTTGTTTCAAATTATATCCTTTAGGCACATTCTTTGTATTAGACTGTTTTCCAACATCTTACTCAACATTTTTTATTAAATACTTACTGAGTACAGTGGATATAACGATGAAGCAAGAAATGTTGTTTGCGTCACATAGTAATTATAAGTAAAGCAAATTTTAAAGTTACAGGTTTTTAAAAATAAATTTTTGAGCATTTTAGAATATATCCTCAGAATTATGTATGGGCACATACATGTGGGGATATGTGCAAATACATATACACACATGGGAATATGTCTGATCTTTTGGGGTAGTTTTTTATTTTTTGCTTTTTCTGAATCAGGGTCTCATTATTGTAGCCCAGGCTAGCTTGGAACTTGCAGTCCTTTTGCCTCAGCCTCCCAACTGCTGAGATTATGGGCATGTACCACTGTTCCCAGCTCACCATGTTTCTTTGTTTTTTACTCATAATACTCATAGTACTGAACCTGTGCCCTCGTGCATGCCGGGCAAGTGCTTTATCGGTGAGCTACATCCCCAGTCCTGGAGTATGTCTGATCTTGAGAACCTCTGTATTTATTGCCAACTATATGACATAAGGAAACTTTTCCAGGAAAACTGACTCTTAAGTCACTTACATTGTATCTTAATAAGTAATAATGACCTGATGAGTAAAAATTTTTGAAATTTGAAAACACAAAGGTCTACTTTCTGTAGGATTACGTACGGCTATAACTCATGCTTTTAGTGGAATTTGAAATTTTCTGTTGAAAAGTAGGAAAAGGAGATATATAAGTTAAATTGATTTCCAGCTCTTTTAGTCTTGTCAAGTTGCTATTGAAATTTGAAATTTAAAAGCCTTTAGGCATAAAAGTAAAGACACTATTTTAAAAGATATTCATTAAGAGGGACCTAAAAATTACGGCCTTAAATCAACAAGTAAGGAGATCTCATTCATGAAAAGTAAAATTCTTAAGGAGGTTGTAACAGTAAAGCAAAGGAGGTCCTTTCAATAGAGTCATTGAAGAATATTGATAGAAAAGCTCTATACATCTGTCTGCCCATCTGCTAAGTTTGTTTGAAATATACACTTTGAGTATAGAATCATTCTCTCAAGGGCAAAACACATAGAAGGATAAGCAGAAAGCTTGAGTAGGAGAATGAGGTTGCTCTGCTCCTGTATAATTGTAGGTGGGACGGGATTAGAGAAAGTGGCTTGGCTCATATTCCCCACCTGGCCTTTGACTCTGCCATATAGAGTACTGCCTGTTTTTGATTATCTTGGATATTGGGGTCCTGGATGTACACATACCTCACAGCATCCAAAGGACATTTACTAGAAGACAAAGCATAGTATTAGGGTTGTGAGTATTCTAGATAGACAGACATGACATTTAACAAGGTCATCATCTGTCTCACTTATATGAAATGAAATACTGAACCTGTACTATCTAAAAACTGACCATATACCGTGCTTATATTGTGCTTAAAGTTTCTTATGTTTTCCTTGTAGTACCTCCCAGTCTAAGTAGCTTTATCATTTGTCTGCACTAAGCGTGTTCAGAAATAAACAGTTAATACAAGGAAGGTAAATTTGAACCTTATAAATATCATTTATTTAGTATTTGGCAAAAAAATGAAAGGATATGAGAACAAGAATAATTTTGTTTTAATTAAAAAAAAAACAAACTTGGGTACCACCCTCTTCCACACATAGATACCAAGTCTCCAAAGATGAGTAAGACCTGAACTATGTCCTTACCTGGACTCATAGTCTAGTAGATTGTTAACTTCTTTTGTTTTTTTTAAGATGATAAAAAACGAGCACCAGGCAGAACTGTGATGCGGGCAAGTGGCCCTCAGTATCTTTTACATCTCTTGTTATCCTAAGAGCATCCTACTGGGACAGAGGAGCGTGAACTTTGAGCCCAGATAATTTTGGGGCTGAATTCCAAATCACCGGTTTTTTTGGTCAGTTTAAAGGAGTCTCTCAACCTCTATAAATCAAGTTTCCTCATGTGTAAAATTGGAATATTCATACTTTCTCTCTTAGAACTGTTTTAAGACTTAGATAATAATCTGTTAAATATCTATTATTGTACAGGGCATCTGGCTTAGGAAATATCATTTCTCTAAGCTTGTAGAGCTGTTCCCTTTGCCCCCGCCTTCCTGGGTACCCAGAGATTGGCAGCTAAAGCCAGTACCTATTGCAAAGAAAGCAATTAAGAACTAATTTGCAATAAAATACTGATGACTCATAACAGCCAATTGGTTACCATTTCTAAGAATTTTAAGAGCAAATGCCTAGAAAGAGCAATATTTTATGCAAATTCTAAGTCTCTATTGGTAAAATGCCAAACATGGTAGCAATATTGGGAATAGCTAGCTATATGCTTACAAGGCTGTTATGTATAGCTAGAGAAAACAGTATCATATTACATAATTTCAGTCCATTCATCATTTATTTGGGTGCCTCTGGATGATAACAAAGTTAGTAGATGCTGGGGAGTTAATAATATACGGAAGTAAGAAATGAAAAGCCAAGAAAAAAAGTTACATATTCCAATGTTTTTAAATCAAAGGGTCTCAAATCATCTGTTGTGTGCCAGGCAGCATGCTAAGTTTCTTAATGTATTATTTCATTTAACCTCAGAAAACCTGTACAGATATTGTCCCTAATTTGTAGATGAGGAAATGGAAAATGAGAAGATAAGTTATCCAATGTCACACAACTAATTGTTGGGTTTTAAAAAATTTTTTATTTATTTATTTATTTTTTCTTCTTAACTAATTGTTTTTGAATCCAGGATCTTATAGAGTCTGTACCACAGTTAGTGGGATTTTTTGTTTTTGAGTACAGGAGTGAATAAAAGGAGAAAAATGCATGAAAGCCACTCTATATTGCCATTAGATTCTCATCTTCTTGACTTACTTGCGCCCTTCCTTTTTATGCTATAGAGATCTTGTTAGAGTCCTTAATTGGTATTCTTTCATAAATAAAACTTTTAGCTTTCGAAGTCATGTGTAGTTGTTTATTTTTAACCTGAAGTTCTAAAATAATTTTGTTAAATGTAGGCTCCTGCCTTCTTTTATGAAGGCATATGGACAAGAGATCTTAGGCACCATTTGTTATACTTTAGGGAGCTCGTTAACTGTGATAATCTGGATTTACAGGCAAATGGACAGTGTGTTTGCCAAGGTAAGATACAATTTGCCTATCAATGGTTAGTTTTTAAAATATCTTTAAAAGACATTATAGATTCATTTTGTTCTTGTTGACTAATGTTTCAATAATGTGAAACATCATCAATCCCTAATGGAACTTCATTGACTTCTTAAGGATTCACTGTTCTATGGGCTTTGAAAAGTAGAAAAACTTACTATAAATAGAATGCTTGTCTCTCATAATTAAGAAGCACAGAATGTTTTATTTAGGCTAGACACTAAAGTAGAAATGATGTCATACTAGGTTATCATTATTTTCTCAGAAGTGTATGAAATCAGCTAATTCATTTTAAATTCATTATATCAGATAGGATTTAAATGGTAAAATATAAGACAAATCATTTCAGTGTCATAGTATTTACTTTTTAAAAATAAGAAAATAATTCAAGGGGCTGGGAATCTACTCAGTGGTAGAGTACATACACAAAGTCCTGAGTTCAATTACCAGCACCAAAAAAAAAAAAAAAAAAAAAGAGAGAGAGAGAAAGAAAAGAAGAACAAAACCAAAATAATTCAAGTATGAAAAAAACATGGCTGGTAGAGTTTTTGTTTGAGGAGTTGAGAAAAAGAGTGACAGACAAGGGAATCTAGTGATTTTTTTTTTTCTTTAAAGCTAAGTATTTAATTTTTTTTAATAATGTATATGAATATTATCTCCTTTTATTTCCCTTCTGTGTTTTTGTTTAGGATTAAGAGGAGATTTTTAACTATGAGCTAGACAATGCAGTTAATCAGCTTGTGCTAATTTTATCCATTTAAATTTAGAGCTGTCAGTTTTTTAAAAAGTGACATAGGTTAAACTGTAGGGTAAAAGATTGTTGTTATTTTGCCCCAGTTTTTTGACGGATACTTATAAAAAGTATTCTTTACAATTGGGCAAATGTTCATAGGTAGTATAAAAATAACTTGAAAGGGTAAGTCAGGGAAGATATTACTCAGTATTTCCTCCTAAACAAAAATGAAGGATTAAAATTTTGAAATGTCGTCCTTCCCTTGTCTAATCCACTACACTCATCCTAAGTTAGAAAAGCAGAGAACACTGAAAATACTTATTATGCTGCTCCTATATAATTTAGAGTTGCTGATTTATGGGCATGCTCTTTTTTTTTTTTTTAAAGTAGGAAGATATTTATTGATAGGAAAGCTCCAGAGGGGCAGGAGCTGTGCAGAGTGGGTAGCCAAAGACCCCACTTTACAGACAAGTTTTATAGGGTGAAACCCACATGGGTACAATGTGAGCCACAACCACAAACATACAATAAGGTTACAAGTATAGTCACTTAGGTAATGGTGTCCAATTAGGAAACAAGTCAAGTAGCAAGCGAACAAGGATTTTCAGTAAGGCTGGGGGTCGGGGATATTTCCTGGAGAGGCTGGATTAAGACCTTGACCCCCACCCCCACCCAGGTGACACTGTTATTTATCCCCAGGGGAAACACAAGAGTATATAGTTTCTCTCCTTTTACAATTCTGGCCTTCAGTGAATGTGCCTTGGGCCACAGTTGTTCTCCTTGCGAAGGCCCATCCCTGTATAATTGGCTGTAATATTTATAACTAACTTAACTGTCTACAATACCAACAGCCCCCAATAACTTTCCAGCAAATCGTATGGGCCTGCTCTTTGATGATGATGATGATGATGATGATGATGATGATGATGATGATGATGATGATGATGTTGATGTTGATGTTGATGTTGATGTTGATGTTGATGTTGATGTTGATGTTGATGTTGATGGTGGTGGTGTTGGTGTAGTGAGGGTGTTGATCTAAAAGAGATTTACAAAGTAGTACTCACTTCTACTCTTATAACAGATGAACAAACTGAGAAAGCAGGACAGAGGACAGAGTGACTTGCAGCTGTGCGATATTAGGAGAATTTAGACTTATGGTTATTGAATAGGAAAAAGGAAGCAAGGAAGCAAGGCTAAGAAAATTAGTTGGTACTGTAAACAAGAAAAGGACAGCAATATCCTTCAGGTGGAGACATTTTATGTTCAAGGTTAGAGGCAAGTGAGTTTAAGCAGAGGCTACTTCAGAGATGACAGGGTAACATATACAGAGGATGAAGATACATATTATTACAGAGCAGAGAGGATTTTAGTTTGGAAGATAGCCATGCTGTAGTTTTAAAATATGTCCTTAGAAGCATTATCTTGGCAGAAGTAACAGACAACATCAGAAAAGAAAGTAAGAAGGAACAAAATTGTCCATTCTGTCACTTCTGTTCCAAATCAGCCTTCTTTCACTTGGAAATATATAGTTAATCCTTTCTTATTCTTGTAATATTTCTAACTAAATCCATTTCACTTAAAAGTGTTCTATAATTTAATTTTTTTACATTATTAGTTAAATAATTTTTGGTCAAAAACAATCACTCGCATACTTTTAATTCAAACCTTACTCAGAATTCTCTGACTTCCTGCAATTTCTAAAAATTCAGCATTTTCACTAATACTGTTTTGGAGGTATGTACAAATACACACTGAGGGAGGGACACAAGAGATTTTTTAAATGAATTATTTGTGTCATATTGTTAAGTCATTTTTGGATACATCCACTGAGGCATAACTAAGGTAAGGCTACATCTTTAAAATTATTTTGTTTCATGAATTATAACAGCAAGGAAGTTGTTGCTTATTCTTACAACCATTGGTGCTCACTTATTAACATTTAAGGAAAATTGATGCATAGTTTACTCATACTCTTATTTGAAAAGAAGTATTTTTTGAGAAAGGAAACAAAGTGTTTTGTTTTAGGTTACACATTGTTGTTTTGCTAATGTTAGAAACTTGGGAATTTGGTACCCAACCATGCAGTCTTATCCACTAATTGGACCAAAATACAGTGCCAGCTAAAACTAAGAACACATTTACAACATTCCAATCAAAAATGTTGTTATACCTGCCACAAATAGTCCTATGAACAGTTCTGGAAATGCAGGATTCATGTTAATGATGGCTAGACTTAACTTAATTCACTTCTAAGTGTGTATTTTGGCTTGGACATACATAGGGACTCTCCTAGAATCCTAGCAAATCATAACCAAAGGCATATTCATAGTCCTTTGTTTCAGATTCTCTCATTGATTGATATGTATTGCCCTTTCAGAAGTTGGAGTAAAACCATGTTGTTACTACAAACCAGATTTATGTCAGAGGTCACACATACCTGTGTTCCTTCACAAGACAAAACTGGATTAAATTTAAATGATTAAGTAATTGCTTATTGCCCCCATTTTTGGACACATATATATATAAAAGGAAAAGAAAATAGTCCAGAATCTCATAACCCTAATAAGCCAGATACTTTTTTTACTCTTTAATTTTCTTTTTTTGTTGCCATTCTTATACCTAACTTTTTAGTGCAGAGATGCCAGCACCATATTCCTACATTATAAGCATTTTCATATGTTAGTATTCATAGTTATTTTTTAAGTAACTGCATATTATACTTATGTTAATGGCATGACTTTGTTTATATGAGAGGTATTAAATTTGGGCCCCAAATACCTTTATTAAGCTCAAGTTTTGTGTGCTGTTTTGTTAGAGGAAACAGTCTGTTAATGGTGGCACATTTCAAGTGTTTTTTCCTTTTAAATTGCTTATGGTACAAATTCATTTTCAGTTCAATGAAGTATGTTTGTAAACTTTGTCATCTCCCCTTTGGTAGATGTGCCGGCTGAGGAGTTGAAGTGTTTGATTTTGCTTCTGGTGGTTCTGTGTATGTGTATGGTATTTGTATGTGTGCATTTCTTTGCAGAAGGGGAGGGTAATGTCTTCTGTTGGAACATGCACTCCACCCTTTTTGATAAGGCTTGTGGTAAGATTTGCATCACTGCTCATAACAACAGTCATCTTCATAGCACTAAGCACACAGCTCTTAGCTTCCATAATGATGTGTGGAGGGTGGAGTGTATTGCAGCCATATTCACCTTTCATTTGTGTGTTTGATGTGGCATTTATATTAAGTAGGAGTAATTTTTTTTCTGATTTTTTTTTCTTGTGTCACCAGTGCACCTATTCCATTCTTCCATCGCTGTGCTCCTGTGAACATTTCCTGCTATGCCAAGTTTGCAGAGGCCCTGATCACCTTTGTCAGTGACAATAGTGTCTTACACAGGCTGATTAGTGGAGTAATGACCAGCAAAGAAATTATATTGGGACTTTGCTTGTTATCACTAGGTAATTGTTTTTCTCATTATTAGCTATTGCATAGTACTGCAGTAAAAGACTGTTCTGTCTTTTAGCCAAAATATGAGTACAACTGGGGATACTTGTAAAATGTTTAACTTCCCATAGCCAAAATAATTGTTTCAGATTATATACAGTTTAAAAAATGTACCTAAAGATATGTATATACATATCTTAAACTCATTTCCCCTTTTTCTTTCATTGGAGAAAACTGGTGTTTTCCCATACTTTGGTTACTAAGTCTGTGACTACCTTTAATATGATAGCAAGAGGCATCTTATAATGAGTCAGCACCTCTGTTTCTAGTTATAATTCTAAAAGGTGTATTTACTTATGAAAGAGGCCACATATCCTCTTACATATTTCTAAGAACATGCATATCTGATACATTACTTTTGAAATATATAATTTTCTTTTCATTGTTGCAGTTTACAGTATCACTGCAGTGCTGGAAAAATTCAGAAATCTCCACTTGTTAGCCACTGAGTTTCCTAGTCGATAAATAATATGAGCAAGTAAAAATTTTATTTTCAAGATGAAAAAGTTCTGTATCATTTTAGAACTAAATGAGGGGCTATTAGAACTTATAGGCCTTCTTAGTTGGGAGAAGTAAAGAGTTAGGAACAAAACAGTTTTTCATTTTATAAGTAAAATTAGTATTTGTGCCTGTTAACAGCAATTACAGTCACTGAGAACATACAAGATATATTTCCGTCTTGTCATTAGAGAGTATTTTCTGTTTGCTCAACCAGTACTTCACTCAATTGAAACAATGCTGTTCATATGAACATCTAATTCTTTGATATTTGAATGGCTCCCATCTATTTTACATTCTTGTATATTTATTGCAAAAGTGAGTACCCTAATAATGTTCCTAGAACAGATCCTAACCATTTATTTGGCTTTGCAAATTATCCAAAGAAACTTGACTTAACTTTATGTAAAAATTACTTGGTTTCTGAAATAGTTGAACACTTTAACCAGAAATAGTATCTAAACCTTAAAAATAATGATGTTTTAAAAAGACAATGATGTTGTGAAGCCATTGGAATTTCAGTTTTTATTAAAATCATTCTCTTTTGAGGCTTGAGAATATAATATGAACCTGAGTATACTTGCTCATTTGCTTGTGGAATGGGCCTTTAGATTGTTAAAGATTTATAAATTATTATTTCAGAAATTAATTTCCCATTCAAGGATTAAATCCTCCCTTTCTTGAGAATTTTATTCATGATTTTAGCACACTGGGATTAGGACAGATAAAGGAGTTTGGCTAATTAATTCAAAATAAGCTTTGTTCATTTTTGAGGAAGAGTTTTTCAATCAGTTAAATAAAGTTAGAGGAATTTTGAACTCAATAGGCTTCAGGATATTATAGGGTCAGATCCTTCCCTAGAATTCTAAAGATTAAAAATGCCAGATAAAGATAAAATGCCATCTAGTTTGTAGACTCACAATCAGAGAAGTTGGCCTATTTATGAAATACATACATTACTCAAAGCAGTGTAGCACTAATTTAACTTATCTCAATCCACGTATGATAACTTCCTGTCACCAACATACATATCATTCCCTACAATTTGTGTGTTGGCATGTGTGTTTGCATGTCTGATGTCTTTCCCATGGTGAATCCACAACAGTCTTGTGCTGTTTTTGAGTCACCATTTGCATTTGCATGTGTTCTTTTCTATAATTTATAAACCTACACAATTAGGCGCTTTTCTTTTTGAGTGATGCTATTTAAGTGGTACAAGTAGCAAAATCAAAATGCAAGAACAGCCAGTTTCCTTTCCTACCTAAATTATGGTCATGAGCTAGTCAAGACCAACAAATTACTTATTTCCCTGGTAATGAACAACAATTCAAAGGATTTCTCCTATGTTGTCAATAATATTCTACATGTTCTCTCTCTTTCCTGCAGTTCTATCCATGATTTTGATGGTGATAATCAGGTATATATCAAGAATACTTGTGTGGATCTTAACAATTCTGGTCATACTGGGTTCACTTGGTAAGCTATTTGTTTGTTTTTGTGGTACTAATTCCATGGTAGCAAATAGAAATACAAAGAAGAAAATAAAATTTTTATTTCTATATGCTATATCTTTTCTATAAAGAGTGTTTTAAGAATTTTATAATTATATTCTCTTTTCTCGTTTCACCTGTTAGTATTTGAGGTCCAGACCTTTTTACTATGCATATGTATGTGATTATACATTATTCAGTTAAATTTTTAGCTTGAATATGTAATTCTTGTAATAATGAAATCTGTCTCCATTTACATTTATATCCTTATTGATGTTTGGTTTTACTACTATTTTGTTTTCCTGAAATTTATGCTTTTTTATTTTGTTTTCTCTATCTTTGCTATATAAACTTTTTTCTGTTTATCTTCACCCTTAGGTAGTATGCATAATATTTTTACATCTATAGTTGGTAACATACATTTTCAGAATATACTCTTTATTGTTTTTTTTTTTTTTTTGGTACCGGAAATTGAACTCGGGACCTTGCACTTGTGAGGCAGGTGCCGGAACCACTGAGCTAAATCCCCGGCCAAGAATATGCTCTTTAGACTTCTGTGGTTATTAAAGGCTAAAATGGCATATATTGAGTTATCCCTTACCTTTTTAAAACTTACCATGAACTTTTATTTCTTTTATCTCTTGCTCTCTTCTGCTCACACCATTTTTTAGCCTTGTTAAATAACCTGAGCTTTTATAGTTGATTATTTTTAAAGTTAAAATACTCTTATACATGCTATATCTTTTAAAAAAATTATTTACCTTTATCTTGAAAAGTTTCAAAATTGTATTTGCATTTGGTTTCAAGTTTTCCTGTGCTGGTTATAATAAAAACTGTTGGTCCCTTTCCCACAAACCTTCACTCTTGAATTCTTAATTTTGGTTCTTTATATTGACTAGAATTGAAATAATTTATTCATGAAGGACTTCTGGGTTATGTATTGTCTCAATTCTTGTTTATCTCAGTTTGTCTTTACCTTCACTTACGAATTTTGAAATCACTGGGTGTAAAATTCATGTACAGTATGTTCCCTTGGGTCTGGACTTTCAGAGAAGAACCCAGAAATAAAGATGAGTGTAAATTTTATTCATTTACCCCTAACTTGTTTCATCTACCTCCAATTTTTTTTTTCTGTGTTACTGAGAATCAAACCTAGAGCCTCACCCATGCACCCTACCACTGAACTACATGCCCAGCCCTATGATTTTTAATAAGGCCTTTTAATTTGAAGATTTTTGTCTAATTCTGGATCTTAAAATGTCATTGATCTTTTGGAGAGGATTCTTTTTCAACTCTGATTTTTTTTCTTTATTTCAATACTATTATTTTTGTACTAGTGGTTTTTCTTAAGCTCATTGTTTATTCAACTATTTTCTTCTAAATCACCATTTCAATGTTTTTGTCATTTCTTTTATACTTCAGGAAGAGGTCTTTGAGTTTATTTGCATATTACTGATTTAGTTTTTCTCACTATCACTTCTGTAGCTGACTACCTACAATGAGGATTTAAATTTTGTTATTCCAATTTCATTTTATGTGTAATATTCTTTCTTTCAGTTATCTTTCTTTTTACTTTACCTTACAACCTTAGTATCTAATTCTGTGTTTAGATAGTTATTACAGTAAATCTAGGTTTCAATCATAACTCTGCTGCTTACTATATATGTGACATTAGGCGTGTTACTTAACTTTCCTAAATTTAATTTTATCATTGGTAGAGGTAGTAATAACCACTCACTAGTGTTGTGATTAAGTCACAACTGTAAAGGATTAGAACACATCTTAACACAAATTTAAATGTTCAATAAATAGATTATATCTACTGTGACTGTTCTGAACAGCATATTATGTCATTCTGTTTTCCTTGAACTTCAGCTTTTCTTATAACTTTTTATTCTGGTTTGTTGAAAACGTATTTCCTTCCATTTAAAAAAATATGTTCCTGGGCTGGGGATTTAGCTCAGTGTTTCCGCTGCCTGCCTCGCAAGCGCAATGTCCCAAGTTCGATCCCCAGTACCATATCCCCCCCACCCCAGTTTCTGAAACCATTTTCTTATACTAGCAAGATTTCAAAATGGAAGAAGTCTTTTTCATAGACTATTGATTGTTTTGGTTTCTTTACTCATCTTTAGCAAAAGAAAAATTCATGGTTGGTATGTGCCAGCAGATGGGATATGAAATTTCCCTTTGGCCTATTCATTGTGTCAGTATAGGTGGAGGTTAGGTTGATGTGCATAGATATTAGCCAAGATCTCAGGTGCATTTATTTTTTTCTTTCCTTTTTCCTTTTCCACGGGCATGCTAGGCAAGTCCTCTTTGACTGAGCTGCATCCCCAGTCCATAGACATTTATCTTGCCAATGCACATGCCACTCTACTCTGAATCATTCTTGCTCACTGTGAGGGCTTTAAGGATGATGTGATCCCCACCTCTCCTTCTCCTCACATTTGTTACCACTTTTGCCCTTGCTTACTGCTGTGGCCATGTGGTCTCCTTTTTCTCAGGCTAGGCATTGTCCAACCTTAGCATCCTAGAACTTTGCTTGGAGCACTTTTTTCTTAGTTTCATAGACTGCTTTTTCTTAGTCTTCTGATTCTCTTGCTTAAGCATCATCTTCCCAGCGAGGCTTTGCTTACCAGTATGTAAAACTGCAGTGCTTTCCCACCACAAGCACTATCCCTCTGATCAGATTTTTTCTTTACATTGTATATTTTTACTCGTCTCCTTTTTTGTTTGTTTGTTTATTTGCTTGTTTCCTCATTACTCTATAACCTCTACGAGCAGTGAAAGTGGTCTTAGGTGGTGTAGGAATTCAAAATGTTTGCGGAATGAGTGAATATTCAGTTATCTTACATTGAGGTAGGTTTGCCTTCTTCAGTCTAGTTCTCGGACTCTCCAAACTATATTAAAAATTAAAATGGTTATCCCTCACACCCACTACTACCAGATTTCCTGTCTTTGTTTCTACCTTTGGGGGGAACTCTTCTTTTTATCTTCATTTTTTTATTGTACAGATATTTAATCAATTGCATGACTTTGTCAGTACTAGGCACTGGAGTTACCATTTCCTCTCAGAGGTATCTGTTCTTACTGGCTCTCTCTCAGCTTCATGAAGTCAATAATAAATTCATTTGGAGGAAGTTTATTTGATACACTGAAGAATTTGTAAGTGCTTAATGTAAAAGATGATCATAGTATAATTGGCACTCCCCTTTCGCTGGCAAAAGGTTACAGCCACACTTCCCAGCTAAATGGATTGTCACTGCATAAATTCCATATTGATGTGTATGAAAGGCCCAGAAAATTGAGGATTTTGTGTCACATATTATGCCAATAATTACAAAAACAATTGTCTTTTGTTTTGTTTTGTGTTTCTCCAGGTGGCACAGGTGTACTATGGTGGCTGTATGCAAAGCAAAGAAGGTCACCAAAAGAAAAAGTTCTTCCTGAACAGCTTCAGATAGCTGAAGACAATCTTCGGGCCCTCCTCATCTATGCCATTTCAGCTACAGTGTTCACAGTGAGTACGGCTCAGGTGTACCATTACTTAGTTCTGAGTTTTTATTTATAGGAGATCATTAATGGTGCAGAAACGCCTAACCTTGATCCCCATTACACAAAAAAGTCTGTTGGAGGCTTCCCTAATTGATGAATGCCCTTTGATAGAATATTTTGCTCTACCACCCTGTCTGCTGTTTGAGAGATTTTCATCTAAAATATTAGTATTATCATTTGCAAAGAAGAATATATTTCTTACTATAAAATAATTATTTAAAAAAACAATTCCCCTTACTATAGGGAAATATGTTGAAAATTTCATATCATTCCATGTACTTGTTCACTGATTATTTTCCCATTTTGTCCCACTTTTTAACATTGTGTAGTATATAAAAAATATAGGTGAAGTTCATTGCTTAGTTGTTCTATAGTGAAATTACAAACATTTAGTTAAATAATTATATTCATCTTTAGTGCACCAATTATCTTCTCTCTGCAGAAAAAAAAACAAAAATCACTCCATTTCTACAAGCAATCCCAAGCTATTTCTGAACATCAAAAACAAAAAAATAAAGCCACTATAAAAGTATTGGTGCCGAAAACTGTTTGTTAATTATGCTTTTAAGTGCAGTTCTCTGTGCTCAATGCTCAGTGTAGAGTGTGGGATGGGAAGGAGGCAAAGAGTGATTCTGCTGTGTAACCCATTCTTAACAAGTTCCTGTTCCAGTGAGGGAGATGAGACACAAATAAATAACTTCTGTGTTTTTGGGGTGATGACATTTGGTCCTCTCACCCTTTTCAAAGTGACAGGTATGTGTCTATTCTAATGAAGAGTCTTATCCTGACACATAACACATTTTGATTGGTAATAAGTAACAAAGCGAATGTCAGAGAATTCCAGGTTTTAAAAAATTGAGAATTATTTTATGTTTATCTTTAAAGAATACCTAAAACCATAATATAATTGAAAATGATAAATACTATAAAAGAAGTAGAGATTAAAAGTACTGTTATTGAGATTCAGAGAATGATACTTCCAATTTTGAGGTTTTATGTATTTATTTATTTATTTATATTCTTTTGAACTATAAAAGCATTTAGTATTCAGTTACCAGAAATCAGGGCTATAGAACAGTTTGAGAAAACCTTAGTTCTTTTTAATGGTTGTCTGTGGATGTTACCATGAAAGGAAAAAGTTTTTTCTTGTGTCCATTTCCTTATTAAGTAAACTAGACCACAACTATGAGATCAAAACACAGAAAGATTAAAAGCAACAAGGCTGAAGCTAAGTTAGTTTTGATACCTACTATATAAATGACAGAGGCAACATAGTGTTCTCTTGTTTATTGCTTAAAATGCAACTTTGACCCTTTCCCTCCATTCTCTCCCTTTAGGTTATCTTGTTCCTGATAATGCTGGTTATGCGCAAACGTGTTGCTCTCACAATCGCCTTGTTTCATGTGGCCGGCAAGGTCTTCATTCACCTGCCACTGTTAGTCTTCCAACCGTTTTGGACCTTCTTTGCTCTTGTCTTGTTTTGGGCATACTGGATCATGACACTTCTTTTTCTTGGCACTACTGGTAAGCAGATATGTTGCTTATTTATCTTAGTAATATGTCTAATTTGCACTCAAATATATTAAAACATCAGAGAAGGCTTGGAGGTATAACTTGGCATGGAGTTCTTGCCTAGGATGGGGTTTGATCCCTACCACTGCCCAAAATCAATCAATGAGTCAATCAGTCTTCACATGTTTCTTGACAAAGGTCCAAAAGCCATCAGATCTAGCAGGGTAATAGCTATTCAGTAACCCACTCCCTGTTCATAATTTTTAGACCATCCTAGTAATGTAGGTCTAGGCCAGATAAGGGCTGAAATTATATCATAATTTTGAGATGATCATGGGTGTGAAGTGAGTTTTGTAATGACACAGACATTTGGATTCATTCTAAAATGAACTTAACAAATGCATGTCTCTCCAGAGTTGCTTCAAAACCCAGTATGGCCAAGGATCAGTTTGTGGCCTTGGGATTTTCTAATTTGGAAACAACCTGCATCTAGCTAGCACCCCTGCAGATGACATAGTTCATAGATTCTCCAACTTGCTGGTGGCCTTACTCAATATCAGAGATTAAGCCAAAATGGCATTAATTGTGAGGAGTAGTAGGATATCAAGCTTGTATGCAACTTTTTTCTCCATTCCGCACACACTCACCAAATGAATGTAATGTTAATTTCTGTCCTAATAGTTCATTAAGATTTATAATTACTGAATAAATAATAGCTCTGAAAAAAATATTGAAATGTTTGAAAATTTTTGCCTACATAATAATGTAATAAGAACTATATTCAAATAGAGCAATTTTTAAAAGCTTTAAATGGTGCCTTTGAGGAAACCAAAGTGCCTAATTGTGTAATGTTTAATTACACAACTTTAAAATTTTTTTTTTGTCCCTTAATGAAATAGCATTAAGAGTGTGAAATTTGTGGTTTGGGAACAGGGATCTGTTGTTGAAAATTGAACTATTCTCATATTTAACAGCTACATTTCTTTGTTTGTACTTTATGTGCTGCCTCTTTCCTTCCTTGACATTTTCCTAGGCAGTGCTGTTCAGAATGACGAAGGCTTTGTGGAGTTTAGAATTTCTGGTCCTCTACAGTACATGTGGTGGTACCATGTGGTTGGCCTAATCTGGATCAGTGAATTTATTCTAGCATGTCAGCAGATGACTGTGGCCGGAGCTGTGGTAACGTACTACTTCACTAGGTGAGTTTGTACTTTTCAAAAAACTCAAAGTTGCAGGTTGAAGGGGAAAAGAATGGGACTGAGGTTAGTAAGAGTTTCATGTCTTTAAAATAATAATTGGAAATGAATATAATAAAATACTACATTTGATAATTCTGGGAGGTAGGAAAATGGGAGGTTGTTATTCTCTACTTTTCTGTAATTGTCTCAGAATTTTTCAGAACAGCAGGTTATGATATAACTTCAAATTATATTGAACAGAAAAATAAATCTTGTAGTAGTACCATATGTATTTTTGCTTTGTAAAAAAGTCCATTAAAAAACAAGTTTTTAAAATTCATTTGGATCAGAAAAAGTGTTGTGAGTCTTCTTTGCTAACTTTAGAGCTGAATATTAAAGCTATAGGCTACATAATTTTCTGTTATAATGCAGTGCTAGTTCTATATTAAATGTCTTTTAAATTCTGTTTTCTGATTATATGGTTAGCTCCTTAGGTACTCCTTGATGTGAGCTTTCAAAGCAGTTCTAATTAATTTGAAGTAATAGAGCATAAACACCCTATGAAACCATAGAGAAATGAAAAATTAATTTTGTATAGTAGATCTGTAGCATTTGTATTAGTTATATATTACTTTGCTATTTTGTCATAAAACTAGAATAAGATTAATAAACTGACTTTTCACTGCATTGAATTCTAAAACATAATTCTGTATCCGTTCTGATCTATGCTTTGTTTTAATTATCTTTTTGATCATTTAAAAAATAGGGATAAAAGGAATTTGCCATTTACACCCATTTTGGCATCAGTGAATCGCCTTATTCGTTATCACCTTGGTACTGTAGCAAAAGGATCTTTTATTATCACATTAGTAAAAATTCCACGAATGATCCTTATGTACATTCACAGTCAACTCAAAGGGAAGGTAAGGAAAAAATGCTTTTTCTGGACTTTCTATGAGTATATTCCAGACCTCAGTTCTTCATGTGGTAAAGTGCCCAGTGATGTTAAATGCAAAGTTGTGGGTGTCTTCTCCACAGTCATAAGAAACCTAGAATGCAGTCCTTCTTCTGACCTCCCACTCACACACTCCATGTGCTCTGCCAAAATACATCTAATCATGGGTCACCCAGAGTACTCTATTTCACTCACATTGACTCACACATTGGGATTAATCAGCTCTCTGTCACTGTGACAAAATAACTGAGAAAAACAACTTAAAGAAGGAAAGGTTTATTCTGGCTCACAGTTTCAAAGATTTCATTCCATTGCTTTTAGGCCTGTGGTGAGGCAGAAACATCATGGCAGAAGAGTAGGGCAGTGGGAAGCTACTCACCTCATGGCATCCAGGAAGCAAACAGAGTGAGAGTCAGAGATAAGATATAGTTCACAAAGTCATACCCCTTAACCCACTTCCTTCACTAGGCCCAACCTCCTAATACCTATTCAGCTATGTACTAACTCATCAATGGATTAATCCATCAGTTGGCAACCCAGCCTTCAACACAGTCATCCTTTTGGGGAATGTTCTAGACCCCAACCACAACACACTTCTCCCTCTTAGAACCTCTTCCATATTCTTTTTAAAATATTTTTTATTGACACATAATAATTGTACAATAATAAAGTCAGAATATTTAGCATGACCACACCTCATATATTTATCATTTTGTTCAAGAACTTTCAAATTCCTCTCTTCTAGCTACTTTGAAATATCCACTACAGTATCTTTAACCATAGTCTTTCTGCTGTGTAACAGAACACCAGAAGTTAATCTTTTTGTCCAGTAGTAATTTTACACCCACTAAACAACTCTGCTAGAAGAAAATAAGAGAAGTGCTCTATGACAGTGGCCTAGTCAAAGATATTAGATAAGGCCACAAAAGTATAGGCAGTCAGGGCAGAAAGTGATAAATGGGATTACATCAAACTAAAAAGCTTCAGTACAGCAAAAGAAGTAATCAAGAGATTGAAGAGACAACCTAAAGAGTGGGAGAAAATATTTGCAAACTATGCATCTGACAAGAGGTTAATATCCAGAATACATAAGGATTTCCCCTTATCCTTGACTGTGTAAATATCATCCATTTCACTATAGTTTGGCTGAAATGCCATAGTGTAGCTCAAAAAGTCAAGCTTTCTAGAAATATTTCCTGATTCCTTCCATCTGTCAAGCAACATTATCTTTCTATGTTCACCACTCTTTGACAATTAAGTGTTTGTACTATATTCTGATTCTAACCTTTTTTGTGTTTAGCATTTTTTTCTCCTACTAAATTATAATTTGCTTGCTGGTTTTACATACCTCACTATATCATATATGCAGTAGGTACTGAATAAAGGATGACTCAGACTGCTTAAAAATAATTCAACCATGATGTTTTAAGAAAGGAAAGGGTAGGTGTGGAAGTTTTAATGCTTAAGTTGTGACTTCGTCCATTTTTATTTTTCAAATATTTGAATTCTTCCATATGATGGTTTGACTTTTTGGTCTTTTAATTATTTCACATTTATCCCCCATCCAGGAAAATGCTTGTGCACGATGTGTGCTGAAATCATGTATTTGTTGCCTTTGGTGTCTTGAAAAGTGCCTAAATTATTTAAATCAGGTAAAATGTTTTAAAAATAAATCTTTCACTTTCAAAGGCAGTTTTCATATTTATTAAGATAAAATAACTGGATTTAATTGAAAGGTGCTGTTTTTCTTGTGGCATTGTGCAGTGTACCTTGAATAAGCATGTCTATTTTGATTGCATTCTCATTTTTTTAACTAATATATGTTTTACCAAGGCGCATTAATCTAATTTTAGTACATGGGTAAGACATCACTTTCTCAAAGACATTTGTCACTTAATTCAATTCTTTTATTTTTATTTTCCCTAAAAATCTTTCTACTCTAGCCATTATTCTTGAATTATTATAAATGTTGTTTAAAAGCTTTAGTTTAATGTAAAGCTGTTGTGACACTTGTTGCTGTTTTGCAATTATTTACTATCATTCAAATCCCTCTGTGCTGGTACTCCCACCCTTCAGCTGCTAAGCACTATGATACTGGCTTAAGAAAGATTATCAAAGGAAGTGCTATTTTAAAATTTGTATTAGTACATGCTTGTAGTACATAATGATTATATTCATCATGGGGAGTTAGTACATGTACATAACATATCTTAATTCTTTTTACATCTTCTTCCTTTCTCCTTTCTTCTTTCCTGCTCTCTCCAAAGAAGTGCTATTTCTAAGGTTGACTGGAGGAATGGACACTTAAAGATGATAATTTTTAAGGGTATGGGTTGGGTCTCTGTCTTTGTTTATTCAAGCATGTAGGACTTGCTGTGGAGCATTCTACTCATCTTTTCTTTCTTTCTTTCTTTTTTTTTTTTTTTTAATGTTTTGTTTTGCTACTTCTCCATTCCCTGAAAATCATTCTAATGTATTGATGCCCTCATCTAATAGGCCACAGACAAAATTGACTTTCTCATCGCTAACCTTTTTTTTTTTTTTTAATGTTTTGTTTTGCTACTTCTCCATTCCCTGAAAATCATTCTAATGTATTGATGCCCTCATCTAATAGGCCACAGACAAAATTGACTTTCTCATCGCTAACCTCTAAGCTCTGTACTTTTATTCACTCCAAGATAGGCAAAGGTGACAGTCTTTTGGCCATGGTGTTGAGCATGCCTGAACTTGGCTTTATTGGGCACTATGGCTAATACAAGAAAGTAGGTATCATGTTTCATTAGAAAAATACATTTTTAGGACTTGGGATTTAGCTCAGTGGCACCACGCCTGCCTTGCAAGCGCAAGGTCCTGAGTTTGATCCTAGGTACCAAAAAAAAAAAAAAAAGAAAGAAAAATACATTCTAGCTAGTCATAATATTCTCTGTGGATGTACAAGAGAATTACATTTTAAAATAATTAGTAACACCAGCCAGATATGGTAATGCATGCCTGTAATTCCTGCTACTTGAGAGGCTGAAGCAAGAGGATTATAAGTTTGAGACTAACCCGGGCAACTTAGTGACACCTATCCAAAATAAAAAATAAAATGAGTTGGGGATGTAGCACAGTGGTAGAGTGCTTGCCTAGCATGTGTGACACCCTGGATTCAATCCCTGATACTGTTACCAATCACTTAAGTTCAAATGCTTATACTGTTTGCTGACCACTGACCAAACCAAAGGAAGCCATTTATTTTTGGTGAAAAGGAAAAAGGCTTTATTCAAAGCTAGTTCCAAGGATACGTGGGTGCCTCATTTGCCTCAAATCATCATCTCACCTTGTCCAAGTGTGCAAGGATCTTTTCTATAGTAAGGAACAGAGGTGTGAGCGTACAAATGAAACAATAAGACATCTTCAGGCTTGCTTTATGCTCCCACCCATCTTCAGTTTTCTTCCTTTCCTGAAGGAAGGAAATGGCCCAGACCTCCTAGGACTGGCATCTGAATATTCTGCGCATTCATGGTGGCTAAGGAGCAGAGGGGGTGGCATTTAGTCTCTAGATCTGAGGAAGTTTGGAGAAGCCACTTGTCTCTAAAGGAAAAATTCTCAACTTTTATAATTCTGTTTTGCTGTACCAATTACAGCCCCCCCCCAGTCACTGTCCATACAACTTGAAAAATTATACTGTTTAAAATTTGGCCTAGTGCTAAATCATCCTGATACAGAAAGTTGACAGATACATCATCATTACATTTTATACTTTTAAGTAGCTTATCCTCAGAGAGACAGGCTAAACACAGCTCTCTAATCTCAGTTCCTACCACCTTCCATAGGCACATTTTACTTTTACAGCTTCCTAAATGTGCCTAGAATGACTTCTTTCCAACACCTGACTAGTGATTCTGCATGAATGAAGCTTTCCCTCATCCTCCAGCAACCTCCACCAGCTTCTGTGACACCAGTTCATACCTCTGTGAAAACAGTAAGAAATTGGAATTGTCTATACTTCTTTATCTTCACCTTCAGTCTCCTAGCTTCTTAAAGACAGGAATCTTACCTTCCCAGAAACCTTTTTGCCTCCATATGAATGCATTCTGAATAAGAAGTCTCTTTCTTCCATACACATAGGATTGAGCCCACACTGTCAGCATCTCACTTGTGCAGTGGAGCGAGCCCAGATGTTGATGATGTATTTCAGTCTCAACAGTGTAACTCTTTGCCAAGCTCAGTGAAACTTGTGAATCTCAGTTTCTTTCTTCAGTATGCAAAGAAAAATATACCTGTCCTCATAAGCATTAGATAAGGATGAAATTCAGTGTAGGTAAATCAGCTCTTTTTTATAATACTTGGCTCTTGGTGGATACCCTCCCCCACTTTTTTTTGTTTGTGTGTTTTATTTGTTTTTAAATAAACTCCTATTCTTAGAATAGGATTTACTCTAACATAAGAAACCTGTGGCAAAGATAATCCAAAATGTCATTCTAAAAATACATCAATTTTCTCAAAAAATAAATGTAATATAAAACATAAGAGTTTAGAAAGCCAAGAAAAAATAGTACCCATAATCTCACCATGCTAACATAATGGTTACTATCATTAAAATACTTACTATTAGCTTTGAGGAAAAGTTTGTAATATTTTATTTCAGCGTAATAAGGCCTGAATATACTATATAAACCTTGTCTGTGAAGTACAGATAATAATAGTGTCTATGCTGCTTTTTATTTTGAGACTAAAGAAAATAATGTCTGCAATGTTCTGAGCAAGAGCTTAGATCACAGTAAACCCCTGGTGAGTGGCAGCTCAGTGTACAGTAATGTATACAGTTAGTTTCTGTAAATTTAATAAGCAGTGGGGGTTTTTTGTTTGTTTTTTCTTTTCTCCTGTCAGGTCTTTCAAACTTTTAAAAATGATTTCTTGCTTGGCAAAATTTCCCACCTCAAGATAAAAAATTTTCTTTTCCTCCCTCCCTTCCTCCCTTCTTCCCTCCTTTCTTCCATCCCTCCCTCCCTTCTTTCTTTCATTCATTCATTCAAAACAGGATCTTGCTGTGTATCAGTACTCAGGGTGGCCTCAAACTTGTAAACCACCTATCTAAGCTACCCAAGTACTGGGATTACAGGTCTGTGCCAACATACCCAGCTGTATTTTATTATGGACCTTTGGAGGATTTTTTAAAATTTGTTTATTTTGTCTGGAATTTAATCCATTGTTTCAGGATCAGTTAGTGATGAATCTACCTTTCTTCTGCCAAGAAATGTCCGTTTAATTGTATATTAAATATTTAACTATCATACTTGAAGTCTGTCTCAGGACTTTCTTTATCATGGATCTGCCTATTCTTACACCAATACTGCCATATTTAATTATTATACTTTCATCATATGTCTCAAAAATCTTATGATACAGTCTTTCTCATGCTTATTTTTTTATGCTTATTTTTCAAAGATTTTTTGTTTAATCACTTGTTTACTCTCTGAAATTATCCTTGGAGTATTCAGTAAAATACGGTGAAACATTAATTATAATGTTAGCTATGGGCCGGGGATTTAGCTCAGTGGTTCTGCTGCCTGCCTCACAAGTGCAAGGACCTGAGTTTGATCTCTGGTACCAAAAAAAAATAATAATGTTAGCTAACATTTCTTTAGTGCTTACCATATACAAGGCACTGTGCTTCATACTTTACATTTTTACATGCAGAATCCCACACACTTTCTTTGGTGGGTGTGGAGACAAGTTCTCACCAAGTCACAGAATTGTCCAGGCTAGGTTTGAACTTGGGAACCTTCTGTTTTAGCCTCCTAGGGTGCTGGGATTACTGTTGTACACCACCATACCTGGCTCAGAATTTCCCCTTTGGAATTCTTTTATCAAGGACTCTTAGGAAGATGCTTAAGGAAGAGTTAATTATATCCCTTTGTGTTGTTTTCTTCTGTGCTTTCTTTTGCTGTCTCTCCCTGAGATTTGCATGCAGCCTGTCAAAAGCCTTGAGCAGGACTGAAAAATCCAAACACATGGCGGAGTTGAAGTAATGCAAATTTTACAACTGAAGTGCAGTGTGTATAGGGTGGGGGTGGGTGGTGTGGAAGACAACAGAGAGCACTAGAGCTCAGTGGTAAACTAGCGAGTTCATATTTCATCTAAAGAAAGCATTCACTACCTCTGTCTTACAGACTGTAGCTGTGTGAGAATTTATAGACAAGTTTTAGCTTTTCCAATTTTTTTAAGAGAAGCCAGAATTGTAGCTGTTTATATTTTGTCTCCTCTATTAAAATGTTGATGACTAATGAAACAAACTGAGTACACCAGAATAAATAGGTCTTTGGGCTACATGATGTCAGTTGTCCATGGGCCATCAATATGTTGCCACTGCTTTAGTGAATTTACAGGGCTTAGTAGAGAGTGTTGATAGGCCATTTATTATTTATAGCACAGGTGCTAGTTTTGCAAACAGTGATCTGTGAACTTCTCTCTGTTTTGCAGGTGCTTACTGTGACACAAAGATGATGATACATCTAGTCTAACAATTCACTTTAGATAGATTGTTACAACTAGATTTTTCCATTGGGCACTGGATTATTCAGGTCTTGTTCTGCATTGATACCATCTGGAGATAGTACGTTTAACACTGGAGAGTATCTGTTTCTGACTGATAAGCTCTTAATGTTGT